GTGTGGCTAAAAAAAAAAGGCCGCACGCAAAATAAATAAAGTAACGATAAATGTACCTACCGGGAGAGTGTGGCGCAAAAAAAAAAAAAATACAGCCACACGAACCCTGGGTTGGCGTAAAGGCTAACCCACAATTGCACGTTTCGAGACCACACGCGGACTGATACTACGGTACGCCAAATCCACGAAGCACAAACCATGCACACTCACTTGGATCTTTCTTCCGTCCCAGCGGAAGTGGTGGGCTCCTCGTCCACCACGTCCACCAACTGAGATGCTTGGCTGCTGCGCGTTGATTCGTCGGCTTCGGTGCTCGAACGCGCTGCTGACATCAAGCCAGCAACTGGCTGCTGCTGAGGCGATGCAGAGGCTGTCATGTTTGCGCCTGTTGCTGCTCCAGCTCCTTCTGCTGCTGTTAGATCAACAGCAGCAGCAGGAGCAAGAGTGCCGGCAGGAGGAGCCTCTCTCGTAGAAGAAGAGTGCGCGGGCCCAAAGAAGGAGGTGATCTGCTGTGGCGCCTGTGCTGCTACAGTCAAAGCAGTTGCCGAAGCAGCGGTCGAAGGAGCGGGGGTACTACCGGTAGTGCCGGCTACACTCTGCTCTGCCTGCATGTTCATGTTCTTTGGGGTCTGCATGCGGGGTGTTCCTCCGCACACAGCTGTGTGTGTGGTGTGATGATGCGCAAGGGCAGATGCTGTCACCCCGGGTCATAAAAGAAGGAGGGGGCCCGCGAATGCATGCGGCGCAACTACAAATACCACCGGGGTTTCTTATATTGTGTACCCCCGGTGGTAATTCGATGGTCTGTCAGAGACGCCCAAAATTACCACCGGGGTGTCGTATACTGTGGGGGGTTTCTTATATTGTGTAGGTGTCTTATATTGTGTCATTTACGGTACTGCTGTACTGCTGTAAATACTGTGTTTACATACATCTGCAGCAGCAGTGGGTGGGCCTGGTTTCGCGACCCCATGTCGGCGAAAAGCTCTGTATACTGTCGCGACCACAGCATCGCTTGACACCACTGCACCCCGACCAATAGTTGGTATACCGGCAATAACGACCTGCCCGGGTAGCGACCGCGTCCCCTCCTTCACTACTTCAAGGGTCGCTAAAACTGGCCCCGTACATTACATGCATAACAGACAGAGTACGTATTTGCGAACACATGCCCAATAAAGCCGCAACCATGGTATGTTTGTAGTGTTTGACCGAATCTCAATGAAGCCGACTGCTAGGTGAACCATGCACCACAGCCCCTGGTGATCAAGTGATTAATGTATTGAGGCTGGGCGTGCGTATCGATATTGCTGTGCGCTGGCACATATGTGTACCTCATTTTTCAATTTTCTCCAGATGCACATGCACGATTTTTTCGTAACCTTGTTCTGCGGCGTTTTTCCTGCACAGCAAGCCACCACTGCCGCCGGCGACCAGGCATTCCTGGGTCGGTATCAACGACAGGCAGGGGCATCCGACAAAAAGAGGAAGACAAATGACGAAACGAATGGGGCAACGAAATGGGTCGGTTGCTCCATACCATTGGCAACAAGCCAGGCGAAAGTGACCGTGTGCGCGAGCCGAGGGTGGGCAGCGGTTTGCACGGGATCTGTGGTGAGCTATCACGACAAGATAATCTCTGGTTCACTTTTCTAGCGGCGGAATGCGTATGCCATAGGACCAAGGACCCACTCGAAAAACCGACGGATTCAACGGCGAATTTCCGCGGAAACTACCAAGCGTGTGGGTGACTTAGAAGCCGCTGTCAGGATGCTGAACGTGACGGCCGAGAATCGAATATGCTTCAAGTTTGGTCGAGATCAATGCTCCACAAGCACGTCCACAACTCCGATAGTTCGATGTGTTCATGGCGAAAGTACGAAATATACGTGCCACCTTTTGTTCTTCGCTCACGTCTCGATCCCGTGTACTCTGCCAAGGTCAACCTGTGGGCCGTGGCTCACCCAGGACCGGCGCCACCCGACGCTCGAAGAAAGGCATTAGGGTTACAGCAAGCGCCGGTAGGCTTTGAACATGCGCTGTCAGTGGACCTTGCTGGGCTCGTTGGCGCCACGGGCGGGTCAAATGGACGGGGTGCCAGCCATATCGCGCTACTCGGGAATCTACTGGCTGTGGCTACGGACCACGCGGTGTTTCTTGTTCATCTGAGCTTTCATGTTAAAGGCGAGTTTTAAATACGATTCGCGTACGTGTCCTCGGACTTCCACAAACCTTAACCTTGGGTTGCAAGCTTGTTGCCATACAGAAAGATGCGAAATTCAAGAACGCATTCATAGGAGGCTGCTGCAGGGCCTCACCTGTTGGCAGTAGGGGGTGGGTGCGTGATACAAAGATATTCCGGCATCGAACGATGGTACTCCTGTGGGGGGTTGTTCTCCGATTGACCTTGTCGGTGCACTCCATATGGCACAACTCATCGCCAAATATAAACCATGTTGCTACCAGGCGAACCACGTTCTCGCTGCAGCATCACTCCAGAATCGGACTTCAACGCACCAGCAGCATCGACTCCACGAGGTGACGCCCAGTCGCCCACGGCACCGAGCCCACAAGCTCACCCTCCACGCTCAAGCCCAACAGACAAATCAACCACCAGGTTGCGGGGCCTCTCCGACAATCCCGATCCCAAGGATTTCCCACCCAAGTTAGCTGCCAGAGGTGGCCCGTCGGGTAAAAGCAAGGGCTTTGCCGGTGTGGATGAAGGTGGTAAATCTTCGGTATTTTCCGGTTTCCGCAAAGAGGGAGGTAAGTCGAAGACGGAACGACGAGACGGCATCGTTGAGAGAGCAATATCGGAAGCAGAGGACCTGGTGGTTTGCGTGCTTCATCCTGGCGGAGAGCAAGACGATCGCGAGACAGAAAGGTGAGTCAGAACTCCACGGATCGAAGTTTTTTTTGCGAGCCCTTTACTTTTCGCACGTAGTGTGCGACCAAACACATCGCGAAGAAGTACTTCCATATTGGCTGAGATGCTGTTCAGAACCCTCGTCTCATTTGACAACATGGTCTTGAATTATGGTCCTTGCTGCCTAGTGTTGATAGTTGGCAGCCGGTGCCTTAGGCTGCAAAGCAGGAGTGACGTCGGTCGAAGCAAGCCCTCGGTGGTCACAGTACCAACAATTCGCAATTTGTGTCGCATCTTCTCGCTTGACGACAGCTCCGCGCAGCCGCCCCCTCTCCTCCGGTCGTTTGACGACGATTGGGAGGCGATCCGCACGCGGAGAGAGTACGTACCCGAGCCGTTGGAGCCTGAGGGTGCTCCTCTGGCGACAGAGCCGTATTCCACTTCATGGCCAGTCAGCAGCAATTCAACCGTCTTGGACCGTATGGGCGCGTGCGACGTCGTGCTTGCCCGACGTGTTGGTCCGGGGGAGGTGGTAAAGGAGCTCCACCTTTTCCCCATCCACGAGAGGTGAGCGTGAGTTGATGGAACGACGATGTAGCACGCCTTGGCCACAGACTGCCGGCCATTCTGGCGTAGGACCAAAACGAATGGTTCGCGTCGAACGCGGGTTCCGGGTAGGGACATACTGACACACTTCCGGCTAGAATAATTCGGTGTTGGTAGGGTATTGTGCGAGTACAACCGAACCCATCAACGACGTGTGTGTACAGTATTGACTATGGCATCAACGTATCGGGGAGTCGACCGAGAGCAATATTTCCGAACTACCCGGTGCTTGAAAACCTGATTCTTCGGTGGGTGTTGGTGTTCCCGAAGGGTAGGTCTCTGCTCATCGGTTACCTGCCGTATGCGAATTTCGAGCGTTTTTTTTGCGTTGCCATCACAGGGGAGACTCGTGGAGCAGCGAGGGTAAAGGCGACCCTTCACGGGACAAAGCCCGCAGTCATCCCGTGGATCCTTGTTGTCGCTTCGTGCTTTTGACAAGCAAGGGTGCCACGGTTTGCCTTGTTCGCGCCGCGCTCACTGCATCCGAGGCATTTCCAGCATTGGGCCGTTCGCCAGGAAGGGCATCCCCCTCTCGGCCACGGTCTTCATCGTTCGCGCTTGGTCAAGAGCAAGGGCGGGGATCACCCGATCGTAAAAGCCCTCCTGTCGGTAGTCGTTGCAGCTCGTCAACTGCCGATTCCCATGCTGTTGATGGCGGGATCTCTGCTGGTGTTGTCGCCGAGTATGCACAGCAGCTTGTCGTGTTCTTGCGTCAATCCTACCGTTTCAACAACGACATGTTGGTGGCTTCCATCACGAGGTGAGTGTTCGCAGGTCAGTGGTAGATATCGCACGTCGGAATGTTCTGCCGTTCGCATGACGTGGTGGGACAGGAGTTGGGACAACGTCTCACGCACAAAACAACAGCTCACAGGTGTCCTTTCGCATGATCCGTGTCTGCCTGTCGGTTGGTCAGCGCCTTTCTGTTCGTCCTCACTGTGGAGGGGGTGGAAGTGTGGACCTACCCGTCTGAGAATCTGCCGGTGACCGACGGACAGGAGAGGAAATGGTCAGAAGATGGCAGATTCGGGGATATGGGGGTGCCACTTTCGTCACCCGCTCATCCGCCGCCTCGGCCATGCCTTCTGCACGTACAAAAGCTCGAGGTCAGTGAACCGAGGTTGGCATGTCTTTCCGGTTTTCAAGATAGCCGAGTGTTCCGGGTGTGTGCAAGTTTGACCTCCGAGTGTGTAGGAGGCTCACGCTTTGAATCGATTGCTGGTCTGGTTCTTTTTTGGGCTTGTCAGCCGGATTCACTCCATGCGGTCACGCATCGAGCAGTGGGTAAAACTGAACCTTAGCACCGCCGACCCTGCTAGAGACGTGCCGCCGACTACAAGGCCACGCTGACTGAGCTGGCCTCCTGGAGTTCTCCCTCAGTCAATGTGCTGCAACCCAAAAGCCCCTGAGAGCTGTGTTGCCAACCGAGTTCCCGGGCTTCGAGAAATGCGCCAATTGTGTTCGTCGAAACCAGACCTATGTATTTTGATAACTGTACCGCTTAGCCCTGAAGACTACGAACATTGGATCCGAAAATACCCGCAAACTCCCCGGCCAAACTCATGTTATTTCGCCCTCTTTCTCCCTGCTTCAAGGTTGATGGTGTGCTGCCGCGATCACCGGTGCAGATTATGGTGCCCCTCGCAGGAGCAACACCAGGGCTTTTACTCTTCCCACCACCGCTGGCCGCCAAGGTACTGAAGCTCGCGAGATACCACCAATAGTGGAATCACGTTGATGGTATGTTCGGTTGTGCTTAGAAGTATGTTTGTTCTGCGAATGGACCATTACAGCCCTCCCGATCGCTATGCTGCTGTGTTGACTTCTATGCATATCGGGGGCGATTGTGAAGGGTTCTTCGCGCAGGAATGCCATGAGGAGATTTGGACGAATAACGTTCCGCGTTTCGAGTGCTCCTCAGGTCTAGTCATCCCGAAAGGGTACATCTACCCCGCTCTTGGAAAAAAAACTCTCTTGGTTTTGCCAGTGGCCATACCAAGTTCCTCTGTAGCAGCTGGCTCGTCTTTTGCATCATTGGAAAACAAAACTCCGTGCTGTGGGTCATTTCCTGTTGGTCGAACTAACGGCGTACCTCCTCCCTCTTCCACGTGTCATTGCTTGTATTATCACATCGCACAACTGATTTAGGGAGACACACTCGCCTTCCTTACTCATCAGTGTCAACGTCGTCTGCGCTCTCCTGGTGCTGCTGACGAACCTATCGCGAACGGCATTTCCGCCTTCTGCAAGCCTCCTTCCCCAACCACGCCATTGTCGGCATGGCCGGGGGGCAATAACAATCTGGGGCAAGACTGCTGGTCGCGCAAGCTCGCCGCATGGCGAAACGGGTTCTGCGGGCTAGGTGGGAATAAAGCTACCGAATACACCCCATCCCCACTGGCGTTGTTTCTTCGACTCCGAAGTCCAACAGCGGCAGTACGTCTTCTTTCCGTCGCCGAGGAATGCTCTGAGCGCCCTCATCCGGCAAAGGTTTCTGATATGTTCTTGTCGGCTGCGGAAGGACTACACAATGCGCTGACGTTTGAAGTCTCTGCTGCATGGCGTGCTGGAGTGGGTCTCGCGGGAACTGCGAGCACTCTGGCAGGCCATGGCAGTAGTTCATCGGTGGCTGAGCAGGTGAGAATAGAGACCATTCTCCCTGGGTTGGTAAATTGCTGGAGACTGCAACGAGTTGCAGCGCGGTGCGCCTCGCTCCTTGGTCAACTTTTGTTGGAAACAGCACTATCGGCAGCGGAACAGGGATCAGCTGAAGGAGACTGTGCAACGGGTCTGGCGTACACCCGGGCCTGCTCTTGGCTGTTAGCATCTGGAGAGCCCGTTGTTGAGAGTTTCGCGTCCTTGCAGGATGTCGCAGCTCGCGTTTCGGTAGCCGGGGATGAGACAGAACTAACGGCGGTAGTTCCGAGCTTCGTGTCGCTGGATGATGACGAGGAAGGGAATTCTTACTTGACGACGGCTGAGGTTCCTCCGCTAGACCTTGAAGAACTGCTCCCTCGAGCAATGTACGAGTTATATCTTCTACCTTCTTTCGGTGTAAGAGACACGCCTGGAGTTGGACCTCCGCGTCTCGCCTTGGACTCCAGCGCGATACCCATATCGGAAAGTGGTGAACCGCAGTCCCTATCTCTTGACGACGTGCTGTCGGGGTTGGTGTCGTATTTGCATAGAGAAGATATTCAACGACTTTCACTTCGTCCGGGGCTGCCGAGTGTATGGGATGGAACACCACGCTACACGCCACTGTCGACAGCAGTGGTCTACGCTAGTCGTGCCCCATGGACGGAATGTCCGGTGGCCCTGTCCCAGGCATTACTGGCGCTCGACGAACAAGATAAGACGCTAAACGAGAGCACTTCAAGCAACATCAGAAGCAACAGTGGCAGCAGCGGCGCCTCGCTTTCTAGAAAGACCTCCCGAGGCGGATTGAAACGCCTAAAGTCAAAGACAAGACCCCGTCACGAACGCTCAGGGAGCACCGGACATCAGAAACCCGCCTCGTCCCTAGACGACCGTGACCCCACGGATGACGAGACCACCTTGTCTCCCACCCAGGAGTGGATTGCCGTCGCACGAGCCATCCTTAGTGGATATTTGGAACAGATGGGAGGTACCGGTGGGCAACCGGAGGCCCCACGGCAAGGACGCAGCGCCCTCGCCGCGGACTCGCAGATCCTCCAACTCGCCTGCGAGAGACATCCCACCTTGGTGGCGCCTTTGAGGGGTGGGGCCGGACCGTTGGCAAGAGATTTACTAGCGGCAGGCAGGGTAAAGCCGGTTGTGGCGGCGCTGGTTACCCTGACTTCTTGTGGTGACGGTGGCGGGCGAGCAGGTACGGCTCACTGCTGTTGTCGTTCTCTGGTGCCCTTGAGTGGATCCCCTCGGTGGTCAAAATCGGCCACGGGTTAGAGCTTGCTGCTTTCCCTGGGTGATGTCGTTGCTGTAGACCTCGCGTTTGGGCCGTCGGTCGTTTCGGTCGTGGCCAGCGACCGCCCAATTGCCTACCGTCCAAATATGCATCGCTTATCGCCCGTCGCAGGATGCGGCGAGGGTTCCTTTGGACCACAAAAAGCGCCGGAATTGCTACAGCTGAAGGACGACTGTTTTTCGCCTAAGATCGACCCCCTGCAAGCGCTCTACGTATTCGGAGCCCCGGGCCGGCAGGTGCGTTGGAAGTCGTTGGCGTCGCCGCAGGGAGTGGGCGTCTAGTCTCGCTAAAGTTGTGTACACCATCGACGAGACTGGCACCGTCCAGCAATAAATCGACCATCGAGCGTATTTTCGATTTTCCGTGCTGTGCGTTTCGTTGGCGTCTTCCTTTCATTTGCACAAGCAAACTGTGGTGGACAGCCGTGACCTAGACTTGCCGCGGCCCCTCCCCCCCCCCCCCCCCCCCCCCCCCCCCCCCTCCCC